AGCCAAATGCCTCGTCATCTAATTAGTGACGAGAACGAACGGATGAAAGAGATTCCCACCCGGCGTAACAAACAAGTTTTCCAGAAGAAGGGGCCGGGGCTAATTGGTGAAGATCAGGGCTGCATCCTGTCTTGAAGCATCAGCATCTCTCCGACATGCCTAGACTCTTCCCCAATCCTGAGCCTTTAAGAATGCACTGGGAAGTATGATGTATGGCTGTTACCTGTTAGGCGAAGTGGTGAAGCCGCTGTCCGAAGCTCCGATGCCACATCCTTGTTTCAGGCAGGCTGCATGCAATTGCCGTGTCCTAATGTACCACTCGGCCGGATCTACGATTTCGCGTGGCCTGACGTTACGGAAGAACATGAGTATAAGAAGCAAAACTGCAACGCATTCGCGGCATCATGGTCCCGATGAGTGTGGTCTCTCTGTATGGCTCGAAAAGTCTCGGTGTCTCATCGCCCTTTGTCGTCTTCTGCAGACTGCAGACCCTCCTAGGGCCTAGGGTATATAGGGCCTTCAGGGTTGAGTCAGGCCTCTGATTTTGTTCACGTTCGCGTTCGCAATTACCCGTGACAGGTCGAAGAGGTCATCAGTGGTCCTGTCGTTGGATTGGCACGCGGCCCGGATGTCTCGATTTGCAGCATGAAGCCGGTGAGAAGGACTTGAAGGAGAAAGGCTGTGTCCGTTCAAGACTACTGCGAAACTCGCAGTCATCATGCCCACAGGGGTCGATTGCAAGTGCTGGCATCTTGCCCGGCATGCGAGTCTACCAGGGGTCGGAGTAGACTGGCATTCATCCCGGTACATGTCTGAGGTGCTCAGGCTTCTGTTCAGATGGTTTGCATGGCTGTGTTCGTTTTTGTCACGACTGGCCGTGGTTCACCCTAGCGGAACAGGCCACGAGGGCTAGCAGAAAAAGCACAGCCAAGCGTCTCTGCGAAGCTCCCAGGTGAAGCCAGAAGGGCGTGATCACGAGCAGGCTCGGAGCTTGGACTGTCCGAACCAACGCGGAGATGCCAGATGCCAGCGCACTTTTCTTTCTCGGTGTTTTGCCATATCGGTATCGTGATGGTAGGTACTCGTACGGTGATCTTCGGGGTCTGGGCCATGATGCGGCCGCTGTGTTCTGAAATCATCGAGCCCAGGCTTTGTCTGACCCGCGGCCGCTGCAGACGCCCACGGTCCGCCACCAAGTATGGTATACACGCATATGTACAAACATATAATATGTATGTATATATATATATAGTTATAGATATAGATAGATATATGTTTGTATATATACATATATACATATAGGTTCAGCTCAGTAATATGGAGAAGTTAAATAGATGCAGATTGGGCAGTGATTGTGATGGAGATGAACCTGAAAATGAGCATACCATGATGATGATGGCGATGATTATGATCGTGATGACGATGATTGGGATTGTCATGGCGATGATTCTGGCGATTGTGATGACGATGATTATGATGATGATGGTGATGATGATGATGGTGATGACGAGAACGAGGACGACCATTGTGAATGACGTGCTTGTGATGTTTTTGTTGCCGGCGGTTGTGTGCGGAAGGTCAATGTCAAGAAGCCCCGGCAGAGGGCCTATGCTCGATCAATCTGTGGACCAAAGACGGCCACCGGATCAGAAGCCCAACAACAAGAGTTCGCATGGACTCGTGGTGTGTTCATTGCTCATTGTTCTTTTCGGAAGCTCCAAAGCTCCAACCGTTCGCAGGGTAGTACTTGGGGGTTTCAGGGTTTGCTATTCAGGTTGGGGCGCTGTGCCGCAGGATTATGCTCCGGCACAGCCCGTGAAAGCCCCAGGCAGGACCCAGTGGCCTCGCAGCCATCTACGTCGACATGGGCGAAGAGAAGACGAGGCTGGGAGAACTCCTTGACCCGAAGCCATGATCTTAGGGGACTAGGCTAAGAATATGCTGAACACTATTGAATGCTGTTGTTGCACAGCCACTCCCTGCGCCGTGGATCACTCCATTATGAGAGTGATCAAAACCTGGTGCATGCAACGGCTAGATCCGCCGATTAGGGTTGGATTGTGGCCATGTACTGTAGCCATTTGCAGACAACGGCTGCACTGAGTTTCCTCGCCCTGAAGACTGAGCCAAGCCACATGAGCCACAGCTCAACCACGTGAGGCCAGAAACTTGGTTCCTGGTGGCTACAGTTGCTCTCGTGCTGGTGGTGCTTCTCGCCTGGGCGTGGGCTGGCCTATTTGACATTGGTGCAAACGAGAATTCTCAATGTGCTCGTGACGGCCGCTGCATGCAATAAAGTGCAAAGTTTGACTCCCTTAAGCAAAAGATCATTCGGGGCGGCATTGACCCAGCTGTTCATGGTCGGTCCGCGGCAGGTGTCTGTTCCAAAATGGCAAAGAGTCCGCTCAGGCAAGTTGCTAAGCTTTGCCAGTTGCTGGGGGTGGTCCAGCAAAGTTCTGCAATCCCAAGACGGAGCATGGCTGCCACGGTTACATGAATCACAACAGCAAGGGGTAGCTGCAGCTGCTGGATAGTTCCTCCTGCTGTACTGCTGCTAGTGCTGCTGTTGCTGCTGCTGCTGCTGCTGCTTCTGTTGTCCTCCTCCTCCTCCTTTGACTACGACTACGACGACAACTCCTGCTGCTGCTACTGACAATGCCACTGCTGCTACTGCGACAGTGTTACTGCTGCTACGGCGACGACTACCACTGCTTTTACCACTGCGACTACGTGTACGACTACGAATAACTGTTATTGCAACTGCGACTGCGACCACTACTGCTCCATGAAGAACTGGAAGTCCATGATGCACCGTCAGCCATCGTGATCAACAACGACCATTGCCTGAACAGCAGAGAATAGGCAGGAGTTGCAGCGCCTCATGCTGCTGCTCCAAAAACAGCATCAAATCCTCGGAAGCACCAACACTAACCTGCCTTGCATGGAGGGGCTGGCATTTAATCCAGAGCTCGGCCGACAAGTTGCTCGGCTGCAAGTTCTCCAATTTTTAGTTTGAGGGCTGCGTGACGGAATTCGAGTACTTTCAATGAAGCGATTCTCCTAGTCGAGTTTGACCTCTTGTTGAATCTGTGTTTGGCCAGCTGCTCTGGCGTTGCTTTGCTTCTCGCGACCATTGAACCATCCTTTGTGACTTTCATTGTGACTCACCTTTCAATAGCATTTTCGATATCGTCACAGTGGCCTCGTATCCTCTTGGTCCTCCTCCTTAGAGATGACAAGATCGTGCTACCTGTCACACTGGTGGCAGCTTACACCAGCCAAAGGAAGACCCGGAGGGAGGCTTGGGTCTCCGTCAGTTTCTCGCTAGGCACTGGGAGAACGACGAGTATCAACTCTCAACAGCACTAAGCCTCGCAAACAGCTTCTGATGCACAGCGGATCCTGGATCCGAGGGCTAAACCATCCTTCTCACACACACACACACACAAGCCCAAGAGCTGTACCACCGGTCCCTGCTGCTTGCGTCCTGAGGTCATGCGGCTTCCGATTAGATCTGCTGAGGCTCGGACGTTTTGAGATCCATGCAAGTTTGCGACGGCCAGGTTTACGGGCATTTTGTTTGCTTTGTGTTTGCCAGGAAATCCTACAGAAGTTCGCCGCAGCCTGAGACGACTTTCTGTGGTGACGTCTTTCGCGGCAGAATTGAGCCCGCCAACACTCAAAGCCCCTGAAACCGGATAGCAGACCCTCAGACAATGCGGAAATACATTGACTCGATTGGCCCTAAACCGAGTGCCGAAGGCCAATGGCTCCAGGACTCGAAACAACGAGCCTCACCCTGAAACCCGAAACGCGAGGCTCCAGCTTCACCTGCCGCTGCTGACTCCAACCAGCCGGGGCCACGTTTCAGATTGCACATCATGTCTTACATGTTCTAAGTCTAGTATGCTGAGTATTACATTTGCACGTTGTATACGGTATATTATGCACCGAAAACAGACATCATTCAAGTCAGCCTCTTGAGGAACTCCGGCATGCTGGTACGCCTCGAAGGACCCGCTGTTGCGAGGTCAAAGCCTGTCTGTTTAGGGCTATAAGGGCCCTAAACGATCCTAGCTAACCCGCAGCAGTCAACATTTCTCGGACCGGAGCTTTGTGATACAAGTTCGGAGGACGTGTCGTAGCCAAGGGCGCGCAGATCATGGTCGAGGTCTCAGCAACCCGTGAGATGTCACTCTGCAAGAGCCCGATGGATGTGTCCGCTAAGACCCTACGCCCCCTTAAGCCCTGACCCTGAAGCCCCAGACTCAACCCTAACCCCACAGACCCTGAGCCTCGTGGACTCCACTAAGGGCACACCCTTCAGCGAGCGCCAGTGCGTTATGTACTCGGCCTCCGCTTCTCACAAGCGCCAGGCGCAGTCCTCGTTGACCGGGGTGATCCTGCAAAGGGTAATTCTGGATTGCTGGGGAATCATTCTTGCGTGGCTCGTCGTTCTTGTAGCCGTACGAAGATCCCAGACCCCAAGTTCTGCATGGAAGGA